ACCAACAGCCAAACCCAAAGAGGTTTCCACATTTGCTTAGCAACAATAGAGAGAAGGGCCACAAAAACGTGCAGAAAAAACACATCCCTGCCCCACTCAGTTACGGGTGGTGTTTCACCTCCTATCAGACACTCAGCATCAGACCTTAACCCCCCAGACCACTCCGTCCTCCAGTGCCCATGGTGCCAAACTGTTGCTTGAAGTTATCTTATAACAAACCCTCACGTCTCTGTCCTCTCTTTCTTCCAGACTGGCTGGAGAAGGTGTTGGCACAGTGAATATTTGTAAGTAGTCTAGCTCATAAGCAATAGTGTGAGTATTTGTTGAGCTACTCCTTAAACATTCTTGGAACTGAGGACAGGACAATCACAGTGAGCTGTGCAGGTGGCACCTTCCAGCACAAAACTGGAGCATACTGGGGGTTCTGCTGCACTCCATGGGGCTGGGGAGGCCACAGAGCCTGATGCATCTTCAGAGTACCTGGTGCAAATTCAGAGTAGATGCAGGGCTCAGCTTTACCCCAGTGCACATGAAAGCAGAATGTGACCCTTCACTCACTTATGACAGAAACCAGGAGGAGTGTTGAGGCCACAGCCTCTTCGCTCCCTCCTCATCAACCCTGCTCCCCACTGCCAGACTCGTGCTCCCCAAAGGCTTCAAGAATTGAAGGTGAAGCATCTCTCACTACAGAGGCCATTGCTCTGTGTCCAGTTCCTCACTACAGAGGCCATTGCTCTGTGTCCCAGTTCCTCTTGCATCGCTGTCGCTTCACTCGGGGCTCTCAAGCTCGACCTACATCCAAAACCTCAGTTTTCATTTTCCAGAGGTGAAAGGGGTTGACTCTCCAGAGTATCTAATTCCTCACCCACTCAATAAGTACAATTTAAGCCCAAAGTAACCTAAAGGTTGCTAGACCTTGTCTCAGCAAGAAACCATTCTCCAGAGTGAGCTTAAAGTAGGGATAGGGGTTAAAAATACAGGAAAAAACCAGAAAGGAGGAAGAGCAGGCTTTGGGAACACAAGCTTTACATAACCGAGAAAAACATCTCTAAGCTAAGTTTTAGCTTTCCCCCCCACCTTCTCTTCTTACTGAAGAGTGAGGGAAGCAGAGAAGAGGGCTGGAGAATTATGCACCAAGTTGTAGCCAGCTCATTTCTGCTCCCACTGAACTGCATCAGTTTTGTGAAATTTCTTCAATAAACTGCAGTCAAACTTACCGTGAGCAATGTGGGGTTTCTGTGCCATTACAAAACTCACCTAAAAGCATAATTTAAAAATAAGGTTTAGAAGCTTTGCCACAGACACTGACTGTCACTCAGGGTCCTCCCATCTCCTCCTCCTCCCCACCCACAGTCCTGAAGAGGAGGGGGAACGTTAATGCTGGAGCCAGGGGTCACAAAGCTGCAATACCCAAACACTTTGGGAGGTTTTCCAAGCTGCTCAGCCAACTGAGCAAGGCCAGGAGGTGGGGTTGGTTTCACCTGGCCATAAACACCCACACCCAAACCAGCCAAAGGACAGAAACAGACAATTCTGGGGCAAACAATTTGTTCCCCAGGTACACCTCCCTCCCTCCAAGGGACTGAAAGCCGCTTGAAAGGCAGTTGGCTGAAGATGTTTGCACTGCAGGAGCATTCCAAAAGGTGTTTTAAAGGCAGAAAAGAGGGATCCCATGCATCAGAGCTGAGCTTCTGGAAGGGCTCGTTCCAGACCTGCAGCTTGTGCAGGGTAAATGGGAAGAGTTTCTCTCTGTCCCCTCTCTGGAGCAGCCAGCAGAGCCATCAGGCCAAGTGCTGCACCAGGATGGGATCCTAGGGCAGCGAGATGCTCCCCAGCTGAGGTTTCTGTTGGGTCAGCAGATCAAAGCCAGGCTGGCTCAGACAAGCTGGCGGTACTGAGCTCTGCTCAGGTCTGTAATTAAAAACCCAAGAGACAGAAAGCGAGAACAGAAGCCAACATGACTTCTTCCATTTCATGGAAGATGCCAACTATCACATGTAGCAGCTGTTCTCCAGCATCCAGGGCCCAATCATGAAAGATGCTGAGCTCTCTGAACTTTTAGGCTGAGTCCCAAAAAGTGCTTAGCACATACAATTCCCACACAGCTTTACCCTAAAATGTTGTGTGGCTAAATGAGGCAGGACAGCTTTCAGGCTTGCATGCATGAACTTCTCTCTTATCCTCTTCATGGAGTAGAACATGTTCTCAGGTCACGCCGAATGCCAAGAAAATTACATAAAAGCAAACGCACCTTGGATGAGTCCCTCATCCAAGAGGAGCCCATATAAAGAGGTAATGGCTTCTCCTTCTCCACTCCCTTTTCCTCCACCCCATGCCTCTGCCGGGGGGCTGTGGAGTTAGGCTCCCACAACCCATCACTAGAGAGCAGAGATTTTTGGTGTTTCATGTGTACACCAGTTCCAGATTTCAAAGGCATTGCTCTTGTACTACAGGGACAAGATCTTAAGGAATCTGTTTCAACTTGACAGTGAAGGCAAAAGCCAGAGAGATTAGACCAGAAAATCCCTCTTTGGGTGTTCTGCAGTGAGCCTGAAGCCACAGCACGCAGAGCACACCACATCTCCTTGTCTCCACACCACGGAGATCCACAGGGAAAACACCTCCAGTGCAGGCGGCTGAATCTTGCTGCTGCCCCAGGACATCACCCAGCTCCAAACACCCATTTCAGACATCTGTGATTGTGCAAATGGACAATAGCTGAAGCCCTGCCATGGATGACATCAACACTGACGTCAGAGCTGATGATGACGTTGCCCAAAAGCCAGGCTGATGCAGAGTCCTGCTACTACAGGAAGGTGAGTCACGATGGACACTCACGGATGTACTTACACTCCACTTGTGCTATGGGTCTGCTGCTTCAGGCTTCCTCATCTGGGTTGAACAGGCTGGTTGGAGGGACTGCTGCCTTCCCCACGTGTGACATCCTCTGTTAACGTCCTCACACGCAGAGCCACTGCTGCCTACCTGAGTCATTCGTGCCCCCCACTGACAGAGGTTTTTGTCTTGGAGCTCAAGATCCAGCACTGTGGCCCCAGAATCACACGGTAGGTTTAATTATTGACTCATCTCCTCATGCTGGTATTTATTTTCATCAGGTTTTCTCTCTCCTCAGTATGAGGAACTGAGGGAAACCACTGGCAAACACCACGACAGCTTGCGTAACACAAAGAATGAAATTGTTGAGCTAAATTGGGTGATTCAGATGAGTGGAGAATGTGAAAACACCAAAGCCCAGGTATGGGTGACTCAGGGGCAATAACGTGTCCGTCGCAATTCCCAGGTTATGGCTTCCCAAAACTCCTCTGCTAAAGCAAGGGAGCAATAAAACCAGTTTTCATGAAATACCTGTCAGCTGCTCAACTCCAAGACTTGCCTGTAATCCAGAGTAGAGAGTAAAATGGTCTGTTACAACCAGTAACTGAACAACCATCAGCAGAGACCTGCACTGAGAAGACAACACGTACACCAAAGTCTCAGCTGGCAGAGAATCGTCAGAGGTTCATCTCTAGAGTCTGAGAACACAGCAAAGTGCAGGTGGATGAACACAGGGACAGGCAAGATTCAAGAGCTCTGAACTATTCAAAGCACATGCAAACAAGTGGCAGAAATGAAAATCTCCTGCCTGCAGAGATGCAAAGTGGGGGAGGTGGTGCTGGCGCCGAGGAGCATGGGGGGATGGTTGTCAAGGACGCAGGGTGCAAACTCTTCGACCTGAGGTATCCTGGCAGAAGGCAAAGCAGGACATGGGCCAGGAGTTCCAGGAGCTCATGAACATCAAGTTGGTCCTGGACATGGAGGTCGTGACCTACAGGAAGCTGCTGGATGGAGGGGAGAGCAGGGGGTGCTGGTTCAATCACAGAACCATCGATTAGCACCCAAGAGCTCCCAAATACCTAGAGCAAAGCTGGTAATTTTGGCTTGCGCTTGTAATCAACCACTGAACAGGGAAGGGGAATGAAATGCAGTAAACAAACCAAACCCATTCGTTTGGAACTTCCACCCTGCCCCTACAAACCAGGGCACCCTCCCACGCAGCGACGCGGGCACCGACCCGGCCCCGCGTCTGAGCGGCAAAGCTGGGAACAGCCCCGGCCTGGTGCCACGGCGAGGGGTCCTGCCCCACGCAGGGGGCACAGGACCAACCCCCTCCCTGCCCTAAACCAGGCAGGAACCCAAACTTCAGGCTGGGGGATGAGGGGAAGAGGAGACGCCAGTTGTCTGAGGATTTGGCCAATAAGCGTCTGCAAAAGCTACCACGCTCCAAGCACCGACTTCAGCTATTCGGCAGCTCCCCCGAAACTGTTGGAAAATGCTCGTAGCAGCAGCCTGCAGAAAAATCACCCTGAGGAAGAGATCTGGCCCCACATTTGTCTCCCAGGCATTACCGCACGTTGCCTTTTTACAGGCAGAACCAACAAAACATTTACCAGCAACCTGCCTGCAAGACTTTGTTCCTTAATTCTCAGTAAATTCACATCCCCTTCTGACAGCTTTTATTGACCAGGAGGTTGAAGCACATTCTCCTCCAAAGCTCCCACTTGCAGGCTGAGGTACCAGCAGGACGTGAAGATCTGCTTGGACAGAATTTTACATGATCAAAGTCTCTGTTCCACTTCATCCAGCCTCTAAAAAGGGGAACGTGCAATTTTCCCCACCTCTCCTGCACCAATTCACCCCACACACCTCCCCTAATTTTCGTGGCTATTACACAAGACCTCAACACTATCCCATGGACTTAACATGACTCGTCAAACCTTTCCAGTGCAGATCCACCACCGTCCCAGTTGGGGAGCACCACATATGCTAAGTAGTTCACGTTCTTCACATCCTAAACATTTTATGGAAGTTTCATGCAGCCTCGCCCCATTTTCCACGCAAATAAAAGGACAAAGTCGCTCCACCGTGCTCAGAGGGAGCTGTGTCCTGGAATCTGCTCCCTCACACCTCCTGTGCCAGCTCCTCCTGCCCCCCCAGCAGCCATGTCCTGCTCCTCCAACAGCACCAGCTCTGTCCGTGCCGTCAGGAACTTCAGCTCTTCTTCTGAGGCTCTTCCCAGGAACCGAGGCAGTCTCAGCACTGCCCCGTGTCACCGGGGTGCTGGCCTGGGCTACCATGGCTTGGGTTCCTTCAGCAGCAGCAGCCTCCATGGTGTGGTGTGCTCCAGGCCGAGAAGACCTGTTGGAAGATGTCCTCCTAGGCATGGACGTGGCTTCGGTGCAGCTGGCGTGGGGCTCAGCCATAGAGGTGCTGGCTTTGGCTACAGGGTTGGGGGGGTCTCCAGGCCATGCACCATCACACCCATCACCATCAACGAGCAGCTGCTCCAGCCGCTCAGCCTGGAACTTGATCCCCACATGCAAATGGAGAAGTACCAAGAGAAGGAGCAGATCAAGGCCCTCAACAACAAATTTGCTTCTTTTATTGACAAGGTGAGCTGTGAACCCCTCCCCTGATCCAGGCTGCAGGCAGCAGAGTCCAGGTGAGGTGGGAGGTGGAAAGGCCACAGAACTCTTGTAAGACAACTCACTCTAGACGCTGAGGGCAACTTGCATAAAGGTGCCAGCTGAGCACCAAAGTGTTTCTGAGCCTCTGGGGAAGCCTCAGTGTAGAGGCAACAATTGCTCTGCTCTCTAGGCCTGACCATTGGGAAGGAACAAGCCCAAACCAGCTTCATCTGCCTTCCAGTTCCTTCTCAGTCCTCTCTGCACATTTGCAATTTATTGCAAATCTTTCTAGAAGGACTTGGGAGGGGTTTTTTTCTGCATTTCCTCAAGGGTGGCCCAGAACAAAAATGCACATGATTAGGAGATGCTGCATTCACATGTCCCAGGAGCAGGACCACATTTCACCACTGGCTCTCCTGAGCTCTCATCTCATTTCCTATTTTTCCTTCTGGAATTCAGGTTCGATTCCTCAAACAGCAGAACAAGATGCTGGAGACCAAGTGGAGCTTTCTGCAGGGTCACAACTACTGCAGGAACACCACCATGCCCATGTTAGAGGCTTATATGGGTAACCTGAAGAAGCAGCTGGAAGCACTGGGGTGCAACAAAGCCCAGTTAGAAACAGACCTGAAAGCAGCACAGCAGGTTTTGGAAACCAACAAAAAAATGTAAGTGAAAATCAGAGAAATGTGAGTGCAGGGCTCCAAATGTCCTTTGAGATTTGTGAACAGGCAGAGACCATGAAGTTTCTGTGGCAGAAAGTGGTTCCCAGAGAACAAGTAGATGGAGAGATCTACCAGGATTTCAATGTATAAAACAAGGACCCAGTTTACAGAGAGATGGAGGAAAAGGAGGATGTCCCTCTTCCAGGTTGTCTTTCTCTCCTTCCTAATTCAAGGCATTAACGTTTAGAGGTGCTCAGCAGCTACTTGCACAGCAGAGGTCAAATCAAAAGCGTGGCTGTAACTTTGTAAAGATGCAGAAACCTTTCTGAAAACACGTTTGCTTCCCCACGGGCCAGGAAGCGAGACCAAAGCATCCCAAATACCACCTGGGGAGAAGGAAAAAAAACCCGAGGAGTTTCACTGCTGGAAAGAAGGGCTGCAGAAACCCAACCAAAGAGGTAATTGTGCTGAACTCAGAGAAATTCTCCCCTTTTCCCACGCAGGTACAGGGACGAACGCAGCCAGCGGACGTGCGCCGAGGGCGAGTTTACTGCCCTGAAGAAGGTGAGCAAGGGGCTGTTTGAACTCTCCTCGCTGGGCTGAGGTCTCCGGGGTGCACGCGGTGATTTAGCTCCCCAAAGCAGCAAGCAGAACAAGTACAAGCAGGAGCTGGTGCTTGGGTTTGCCTGAGCTGAAACCAGCAGCCACCACGGAACTGGGAGCTGGCACACGGGCACCAGCTCCGAGTCCCTCAGCCCAAGGGGAGCCCCGAGTCTGCTCTCACAAACTTCCTCCTCCTCCTCTCCCCAATGCGTCTCCAGGACGTGGACTGCTTTTTCTTAAACAAAGCAGAGCTGGAAGCCAAGGTGGGAAGCCTGAAAGAAGAGGCTGAATTCCTGAGGGTGTCCTACAGAGAGGTAAGAGGCCTCCCCATCGCCCCAGCCACCGCTTGCATTTCCCAGCTGGACTTCGAGGCTGCTCAGCCTGAAGGACGGGGGACGAGCAGGGCTGAGGTCAACCCTGGTGAGTATCACGGTCCATCTCTGCACTCACCACAGCTTGGGGCTGGATCAGGAGCACGGCAGGACCAGCAGCTCTGACCCAGCTCATGTCACCACCAGGAAATCCAGCAGCTGCAGGCCGAGATCTCGGCTACCTCGGTGGTGGTGCAGATG